TTGCTTCATCTCTTGTGAAATTTAAACCCTCTGCTCCTTCAAAAAAATAATCTCTTCTTTCTAGTAAGAATTCTGACAGAATGGAGTCAGAAAGGACACGGGTTTCGGGGAGTGATGTTTTTAATCTGGAATTCGAATTCCAGTGACTCTGTGGTGTCATGGCTGGTCTGTGGGACCCTTGCTTTGAGTTGAGGACTCTTGCAGTGTTACTTTTAAACCCCTGGACATGGCTGGGCACCGTGGCTCACACCTGTAATCCCAGCACTTTGGGAGGCTGAGGTGTGTGGATCACTTGAGGTCAGGAGTTTGAGACCAGCCTGACAAATATGGTGAAACCCTGTCTCTACTGAAAATAAAAAAATTAGCTGGCCGTGGTGATACAAACCTGTAGTCCCAGCTACTCGAGAAGCTGAGGCAGGGGAATCACTTGAACCCAGGAGGCAGAGGTTGCAGTGAGTGGAGATTGCGCCACTGCACTCCAGCCTGGAGCAAGACTCTGTCTCAAAAGAAAAAAATAGGCCGGGCTCGGTGACTCACACCTGTAATCCCAACACTTTGGGAGGCCAAGGCATGCAGATCACGAGGTCAGGAGATCGAGACCCTCCTGGCCAACATGGTGAAACTCTGTCTCTACTAAAAATACAAAAATCAGCCGGGCATGGTGGCGCATGCCTGTAATCCCAGCTACTCGTGAGGCTCAGGCAGGAGAATCCCTTGAATCAGGGAGTTGGAGATTGCAGTGAGCCAAGATGTTGCCACTGCACTCCTGCCTAGCGACAGAGTGAGACACCATCTCAAAAAAATAAAATAAATGAAATAAACTCCTGGACATTTATGTTAGATATTTTATTTTTATGACAGTTCAATATAAAATAAGAAACCGTTATGAGAGGAGCTAGAAGGCACCTTAAGAGACAAGTGAACCCTTTGGACAGCATCACTTTGAAGTCACTCTACACAGAAACATTGTCTTCCAGGAGCCTCCCAGCTGCTTCACTTGGTCCTCAAGTCGGAACCCCTACCTCCAGTCGTCTCTCAATTCAGGCATGTCTGTTCATGTGCTTTTTTTTTTTTTTTTTCCCCGAGACGGAAACCTTGCTCTTTCGCCCAGGCCGGGGTTCACGCCATTCTCCTGCCTCAGCCTCCTGAGTAGCGGGGACTACAGGCGCCTGCCACTACGCCCGGCTAATTTTTTATATTTTTAGTAGAGACGGGATTTCGCCGTGTTAGCCAGGATGGTCTCGATCTCCTGACCTCGTGATCCACCCACCTCGGCCTCCCAAAGTGCTGGGATTACAGGCATGAGCCGCCGCGCCCGGCGGTTCATTTGCTTTTCTAACTGGGAACATGAAGACACCTGAGAGGGGTAGAGCTGGCGGGAGGAGGGCAGGGATAAACACCCCAGCGCCTTTTCCCCACTGTTGTCTTGTTCTTTCTTCTACTTCACCTTTCCTTTTTTTTCAACTTGTATATTAAGTTCAGGGGTACACGTGTAGGTTTGTTATATGGTAAACTCATGTCATGGGAGGGGGTTGTTGTACAGATTATTTTGACACCCAGGAATTAAGCCTCTAAATAATTCAGGGGGCCCCAGCATTTGCAGAAGTTACCTACTGGCTTTAGAAGGATTTCTGAAAAGTTTGATGTCAGTGAATTTTTTTTTTTTTTTTAATTTAATGTGCTGGCTAAGATGCTCGCTATTTAAACTTGGAATGAATGAATCCCTGGGCAAAAAGGAAGCTTTTAGGAGCATGCATAAGCACACACCATACTCTGGCTAAATTAGATTTTCTAAAATTGGGCTTTCCTAAAGAAAGGCATATGGTAGACGGCCATAGGCCAAGTGAACCGAATTCAGGAAGTGTTATTTCATGAGCACGTTTCCCAGGGAGGTTTGAGATGTTTCTAACAGAGCAGGAATGCACTTCCTGTCACACAGTACTCAGCCCTGGAAGCTCGGAGCGGGAAGACCTGCACAGGCCCCTTTTGTGCGCTGGGAAACTTCCACATCCCTGTGTCACCATGATAAAGAGCTAACTTTGTCTTCAACGAAGAGTTGGAAAATTATTTTAATCTCTGCATTAAACTAGATGCAAAATTGCCTCTTTACCTAGGAATCACACTGCATAATTGCACATTATCTACATTTTCAGTCATGCCTTGAATAATACTTCTTGAGTTCATGAGGAGGTCAGTGTGGGGCTGGGAAGACCCCTAGACTTCCCCGGGTAGGTGTAGCCTGGAAGTAAGACTGATGTAGCAGCAAAGCCCTGGCGATCATGCACACTTCTGAGTAAGGCAGAGGTGTGAATCATTGTATCACCATGGCTGGCTAGCTTCAGAGGAACCGAAAAAATGAAAACCCTTGGCGTTGCTCATTAGCAAAGGGAAATACACAAATGTTGAGGGACTCTTCGTGTCAGAGCCACACTCTTCTGTTTTGATTTTGATCTGGTAAGCAGAGCACTCCCCATGCCCACTTCAGGCTTCCGGCTGAGAGTCCTCTTTTAGCTGTCGTACCTGTTGCTGAGGATCTTGGTAGCGGGCTAGCCACAAGGGGCTTTAGAAACTAGGAGCATTTCAGCATCAACTGTTTTAACTGGAGTTAGATCCATTTTGTGATTTGATTTGATTTTGATTTTTTAGAGACGCACTCTCACTCTGTCTTGCAGGCTGGAGTGCAGTGACATAATAATAGCTCACTGCAACCTCGACCTCCTAGGCTCAATTCATCCTCCCACCTCAGCCTCCCAAGTCGCTGAGACCACAGGTGCACGCCACTACGCCCAGCTAATTTTTGTATTTTTTGTAGAGACAGGGTCTTGCTCATTACCCAGGCTTCTCAAATTCCTGGCTTCAGGTGATCCACCCGCCTCGGCCTCCCAAAGTGCTGGGATTGCAGGCGTGAGCCACTGCACCAGGCCCCATTTTGTGATTTAATTCTCATTGTAGACTGACATTTTCTACAGCAGTTTTTCAACAATAGTATTGTAGTTGAGGGGCCACATTTGGGGCTGGAGCTGGGTAATTCTTTACTATGGGAGCTCTCCTATTTATTGCAGGGTGTTTAGCAGCACCCTGGGCCTCTACCCACTAAATGCTAGTAGCAACCCCCATCCCCGCAAATTGTGTAAACCAAAAATATATCCACACATTGCCAAATGTCCCACAGGACACAAAATTGCACACCCATTCACATACCCCCTCACACACACACACACACACACACGCACACACACACTTTAAGAGTCACTGCTCTGGCCAGGCGTGGTGGCTCACGCCTGTAATCACAGCGACTTTGGGGAGCTGGGGCAGGCGGATCACTTGAGTTCAGGAGTTTAAGACCATTCTGGCCAACATGGTGAAACCCCGTCTCTACTAAAAATGCAAAAATTAGCTGGGCATTGTGTTGCATGCCTGTAGTCCCAGCTACTCGGGAGGCTGAGGCAAGAATCACTTGAACCTTGTAGGCAGAGGTTGCAGTGAGCCAAGATCATGCTACTGCACTCCAGCCTGGGCGACACAGCGAGACTCCATGTCAAAGGAAAAAAAAAAAACAAAACACTCCTCTATAGGAAAGAGGCAGTATAAAATAATCTTTTTCCTAAGTTGGTTGTGCATTTTAAATAGATTCCTGGCTGGAAACAATGGCTTACGTCCATAATCCCAACATTTTGGGAGGCCAAGGCGGGCAGATTGCTTGAGCTCAGGAGTTTGAGACCAGCCTGGGCCACATGGCAAAACCCCGTCTCTACTAAAAATACAAAAATCAGCTAGGCATGATGGCACACGCCTATAATCCTAGCTACTTGAGAAGCTAGGGTGGAAGGATGGCTTGAGCCCAGGAGGCAGAGGTCTCAGTGAGCTGAGATTGGTTCACTGCACTCCAGCCTGAGAGACGGAGCCAGACCTATCTCAAACAAACAAAAACAAAATAAACAAATAAATAAATAAATAAAATAGATGCTAAGATTTTACACACATTGAACCCTGTGTGTTACTGGTTTGTCCCCTACATGGAGTAGACAGGTTTTCTCTTTGAGTGGCCTTCACAGAAGCTCTGACTCTTACTCATTCTACTCTCTTGTACTCATGCATTGCTAATATTATTTCATCTGATTATTAATCCAGTAGCGGGCTGTTAAGCATGTTCACTCGTGCTGCGATATTTCTTAGTGAGCTCTCACCACATGCCATGATGGCGAGCAGCCTCATCTCTTAAACAGGATTCCCGCAGGGTTGAGAACTCGTCCACCTTTCTCAGCTTGTTATGATGAGAGCTTACACTTTTGGGAGGTAGAACTCCACCTGACATGGAGGAACATGGTCCTTAGAGTCAGACAGATCTGGATTCAAATCCCACTTCTCCTGCTTACAAGCCAGATAGCCTTGGACTGAGATTGAACCTGCATGCCTCAGTCTACCCTTATGAACACGGGGATGATTTTTTCTACCTGGCAGGGTTCTGCATGGCCTTAGTGAGATCATGTACGTCAGACATCAGTAAATGGTAACTTGTTATCTGTCAGTTGATAGCTGTAAGGTATGAATTGCCATCTTTGTAGGTCAAAAACCATCAAATATTGGCAACTTCATACAATTGGACCTAATGTGTAAACCCCAGGTCACCATCACGCTGTCTTCTTTGCTCTGTGGATATCCAGCGGATGAAAGGGATGGTTCTGCTTTTATATTTTACTGTTTTCCTGCTTCTTCTGAGGGGGCTTCCTGCCAGCACAATCTAACGAACTTCAGAGAGGACAAAGTCAGTCTCTGCCGTCATCAGTGTTCACAGCCAGCGTGTAGTTTTCAAAGTGTGTACCACATGAAGTTGCACCTTCCAACCTTCCAGCCAGTTTGTGTGGAAATAACCTGAATTGTATTAATAGCAGTTCTTCAGTTTGGGACTGCCGGGGGATGCTTGGTTTGTTTTCCATTGTTTATTCCCTGGGTGCCCGTCTTGGGCAAGCATTTCTCTGATGTCTCTATTTATGTGGCAGGTCACCCTGCTGATTGCCTTCATCTGCGTGCGGAGCTCCCCGTGGACCAACTACAGCGCCTACAGCTACTTTGAAGTGGTCACCATTTGCGACTTGATAATGATCCTCGCCTTTTACCTGGTCCACCTGTTCCGCTTCTACCGCGTGCTCACCTGTATCAGCTGGCCCTTGTCGGTAAGAGAGTGGCCTGGCCCTGTCCTCCTCATGCACAAGTCAGGATGTTAGCTGGCGTACTGAGACCTGACGGAGTTTTTCCCGTCTGCCCATCTCACCTCTTTAACCATTCTTTGCTGCCTCTGCCCTGAATTTCCTATTGTTTGGTGAACACCTCTGCCTGATGTCCTGCTGGTTTTTAAAACTCACTTTCCAGCTACAAGAAGGCTGTGACTATTGCCTCGTGCTTATTTTCTCAAGCAACAGAGAATGGCTGTGGGTGTATGAGTTGAGAAAAGGAACACGGAAGGAAGGGTATTGATGCTGTTGTGAGGATCGAATGATAAGATTTTCTGGCTAAAAGGGACTAGTAGGGGCTGAAGAGACAGTCAGAAGTTGCCAGACTTTTTCTTCCCACTGTATTATTTTTTTAAGTTTCATTGAGATGCAGTTCGCATGCTGTGTTGTTCACCCATTTCAAGGGTGCAATTCAATGGAGTTTAGTATATTTCCAGAGTTGTACGACCATTACTACAGTCATCTTTAGAACATTTTCATCATTTCAGAAAGAAATTCCATACGTTTTGGCTGTCACCACCCTAACACTCATCCCTCCGGTCCTAAGCAATCACTTATCTTCTGTCTCTAAAATTTTTCTACTCTGGACATTTCATGTAAATGGAATTGTATTTGTGGTCTTTTGTAACTAGCATCTTCCACTTAGCAGAATGTTTTCATGGTTCATCCATGTTGTAGCATGTATCACTATTTCATTCCTTTTTTTCTTTTTAGAGACAGGGTCTCACTCTGTCACCAGGCTAGAGTGCAGTGACGTGACCACGACTCACTGTGGCCTCAACCTCCCAGGCTCAAGTGATCTTCCCACCTCAGCCTCCCAAGTAGCTGGGACTACAGGTGCATGCCACCACACCTGGCTAGTTTTTGCATTTTTTACAGAGATGAGGTTTCACTGTGTTTTCCAGGCCAGTCTCAAACTCCTGGCCTTAAACAATCCTCCCACCTTGGCCTCCCAAAGTGCTAGGATTACAGGCATGAGCCACCATGCCAGCCCTTTTTATAACCAAATAGTATTCCATTGTGTGGATAGACCAGACTGCATTCTGTTTTTCATTCATCATCAGTGGACCTTTAGGTTGTTTTTACCTTTTGGCTATTATGAATAATGCTGCTATGAACATTCATATGTAAGAAAAATGACATATTTTCATTTTTCTTTGGTATGTATCTAGCAGTGGAATTGCTGAGTCATATGGTTGCTTTGTGTTTAATTGTTTGAGGAACTGCCAGACTGTGTGCCAGAGTGGCTGCACTTTTACATTCCCACCAGGAGTGTATGAAGGTTCCAATTTCACCACATCCTTGCCAACACTTATTATCTGTCTGATTCCAGCCATTCTAGTGAGTGTAAAGTGTTATTTCCTGTGGTTTTGATTTTCGGTTCTCCAGTGAGTAATGATGTTAATCATCTTTTCATGTGCTTTTGGCCATTTGTATATTTTCTTTGAAGAAATGTCTATTTGAGTCCTTTGCCTATTTTTTAATTAGGTTATTTGTCTTTTCATTATTGAGTTGTGAGAATTCTTCCTAGAGTCTGGATAAAAGTCCCTTATCAGCTATATGACTTGAAAATATTTTCTCCCGTTCTGTTGTTTTTCACTTTTTTGATGGTGTCCTTTAAAGCACAAGTTTTTAATTTTGATAAATTCAGTTTATCTATTTTTTTTTAGCTCACGCTTTTCTTATATATAAGAAGCCATTGCCAAATTCAAATTGTGAAAATGTACTTCTATGTTTTCTTCCAAGAGTTTTATAGTTTTAGTTCATATATTTAAATATTTGATCCATTTTGAGTTAATGTTTTTTGCATAGGGTGTGAGGTAAAGATTCATTTCATTCTGTTGCATGTAGATATCGAATTATCCCAACACCATATGTTGAAAAGACTATTCTTTCCCCCATTGAATGGTATTAGCACCCTTGTTGAAATCAGTTGAACATTAAATACATGGATTTATTTCTGGACTCTCAATTCTATTCCATTGATCCATATGTCTATCTTTATGCCATTATCACACTATTTTGGTTACTGTAGCCTTGTAGTAAGTTGTAAAACTAGGAAATATGCAGCCTCCCAATTTGTTCTTCTTTTTTAGGATTCATTTGGATCGTTACAATTCCATATGAATTTTAGAATCAGGTTTTCAATTTCTGCAAAAATCAGCTGGGATTATAATAGGAATTATGTTAATCCATAGATCAATTTGGAGAATATTGCTCTCCTAATAATGTTAAGTCTTACGATCCATGAACATGGGAAGTTTTTCCATTTTTTAAGATAATCTTTTATTTCTTTCAATGTTTTGTAGTTTTCAGAGTAAAAGTGTTTTTTGTGTTTTGTTTGAAACAGGATCTTGCTGTTACCCAGACTGGAGTGCAGTGGCAAGATCATAGCTCCCTGCATCCTCAAACTCCTGGGCTCAAGCAATCCTCTTGCCTCAGCCTCCCAAGATACTGGGACTACAGGCATGAGCCACTGTGCCTGGCCTGAACTTTTAAAATTAAATTTGTGTCAAAGTATTTTATTCTTTTTGATGCTATTTTAAATGGATTTTTTTCCTAATTTTATTTCCAGATTGTTCATTGCAAGTGCACAGGAGTCCAGTTACTTTTTGCATATTGATTTGTGTCCTCAACTGTGCTAAACTACTTAGTATTTCTAATATATTTTTCTAATATATTTTTAGTGAATTCCATAGGATATTCTATAAACAGGATCTGCAAATAGAGATATTTTTACTTCTTCCTTTATAATCTGGATGCCATAACATTGCCTTGCTTTACTGCAAGAAATTAGTTGAATAAATTAGACAAATATTGAACAGAAATGGCAGAGCAGCCATCATTATCTTTTTCCTGATGTTAGGAGGAAAGCATTCCTTCTTTCATCACTAAACATAACATTGGGTGTGAGTGTTTTGTAGAAGCCCTTTATCAAGTTGAGGAAGTTCCCTTCTAGCACTACTTTGTTGAGTGTTTTTATCATAAAAGAGTCTTAGATTTTGTCAAATGCTTTTTCCATATCTACTGAGGTGCTGAGTTTTTCTCCCATTATTAATATGGTGTCTTACATTGGTTTTCGTTTTTTTGTTTCTGTTTTTTTTAAACAGGATCTTGGTCTGTCATCCAGGCTGGAGTGCAGTGGTATAATTACGGCTCACTGCAGCCTTTATTTCTCAGGCTCAAGCGATCCTCCCACCTCAGCCTCCTGAGTAGCTGGGACCACAGGTGTGCACCACCATGCCTGACTAATTTTTTTTTTGTTTTTGGTAGAGATGAGGTCTTATGTTGCCCAGGCTGGTCTTGAACTCCTGGGCTCAAGTGATCCTCCTTCCTCAGCCTCCAAAAGTGTGGGGATTAAAGGCATGAGCCCTCACACCTGGCCTGATTTGTCTGTATATGTTGAACGAACCTTGCATTCCTGGGGTGAATTCCATTTGGCCGTAATGTATAACCCATTTTATATGCTAGTATGTTCAGTTTGCTAATATTTTGTTGAGGATTTTTTGCATCTGTATTTAAAAGAGATATTGGTCTGTAGTTCTCTTTTTTTCTGATGTCCATCTGGTTGTGGTATCAAGGTAATACTGGCCTCACAGAGTAATTTAGGAAATATTTCCTCCTCTTTTATCTTTTGAAAGAGTTTGTGCAGAATTGGTATTAATTATTCCTTAAATATTTGGTAGAATTCAGCAGTGGCACTATCTGGGTCTGGGGTTTTCTTGTGGGTCATTTTTTTTATTGTTAATTCAAACTCTAATTTTACCATCTTTTCAGATTGTGTCATTTATTCTAGAGTCAATTTTAGTAGTATACATGTCTAGGAATTTGTCCATTTCATCTAAGTCATTGAATTTATTGGCATGCAATTATTTATTGTATTTCTTATATCCTTTTTATTTCTGTAATGCAGTAGTAATGTTTCCTCTTTCATTTGCATCTTCTCTCTCTCTCTCTCTCTCTGATCAGTCTAGCTAAAGATTTGTCAATCTTGTTGATCTTTTCAAGAACCAGTTTTTGGTTTCATTGATTTTTTTAATTGTTTTCCTATTACCTTAATAAATTTTGCTTTAATCTTTATTATTTTCTTTCTTCTGCTTGCCTTAGGTTTAGTTTGATTTTCTTTTCCTAATGTCTTAATGTATAATATAGTTTGGATATCTGTCCCCTCCAAATCTCATGTTAAAATTTGATTCCCAGTATTGGAGGTATGGCCTAGTGGGAGGTGTTTGGATCATGGGGGCAGATCCCTTATGAATGACTTGGTGCTGTTCTAGTGGTAATAAGTGAGTTCTTGCTCTGTTAGTTCCCATGAGAACTGATTGTTAAAGAGAGGCTGGCACCTTTTTCCCCTCTCTCTCTCGCTTCCTTCCTCTTGCTGTGTGATGCCTGCTCACCTTCACCTTTGCTTCAGGAAATAGAAGCTCCCTGAAGCCCTCACCAGAAGCAGATGCAGGTGCCATGCTTCTTATACAGCCTGCAGAACCATGAGCCAAATAAACATCTTTTCTTTATTTATTACCCAGCCATGGGTATTCCTTTATTAAAATAATGCAAAACAGACTAAGATGATGTGGAAGGTCATCTAATTTGAGACCTTCCTTCTCCTTTAATATTGGCATTTACAGCTATAAATCTCCCCCTGGTAATTGTTTTACTTGTATTCCATAATTTTGGTATATTATATCTTCATTTTCATTCATCTCCAGGTATTTTCTAATTTCTCTTATGATTTTTTTTCTTTGATCCATTCATTATTTAGGAATATGTTGTTTAATCTCTATATATTTCCCTGATTTCCCTTTGCTCTTGATTTCTAATTTGATTCCATTGTGTTCAGAGAACATATTTTGTAGTCCTTCTACCTTTATTGAAGTTTGTTTTATGGTCTGATATGTGGTCTATCCTGGACAACGTTCTGTGTACATCTGAGAAGGATGTACTTTTATACGTTGTATATTTGCATATTATACTTTTGTTGGATAGAGTTTTTATACAGGATTTTTAGGTCTGGTCATTTTATGGTGGTGTTTGAATCTTCTGTTTCCTTGTTGACCTTCTTCCTGGTTGTTCTATACATTGCTGAAAGTAGGGATATTGAATTCTGCAACTATTATTTTTGAATTGTCTGTTTTTCTCTTTCGTTTTTTTCATTTTTCCCTTCATGTGTTTTGGCTCTTTTATTAGGTGTATATATGTTTATAATTGTTATATCTTCCTTATGGATTCAGCTTTTCATTATTATAAAATGTCCCTCTTTATTTCTAGTAACTTTTTTTGTGTTCGATTCTATTTTGTCTGATGCAGTACAGACACCCCGGCTTTCTTTTGGTTGTCATTTGCATGCCATATCCTTATCTCTGAATATAAAGTCTCTGTCCCATAGACAGCACATACTGTAGTTATATCTTGTTTTGCTTTGTTTTTTTAATCCAATCTGACCACCTCTGCATCTTGATTAGATTGTTTAATTGTTCACATTTAACATATTACCCACTGTTATCTTAAGAGAAATTTCCTTTGTGTTTCTAAGTTCTAAGGACCCTTTCAAAGCTATGGCATTTTTTCTGCTTCTTTTGAAAACAAATTCCTCCGGGGCTTACCTGATGCAGATACTGAACAAGCAAAGGAGAGAACAGAAGCTCAGCAACAAACACAAGAGTGGGCTGCATGGGGAGTGAAAGTTGGAAGGACAGACTGAGCCACACATTTCTGGTTGAGATACTGTGCAGGTACTTCCGGTTAGGATTCTCTCAAGTAGGTTTTCTCTGCCCCGTGTCATCCTCCTCTGTCTTAATAGGTGAGAATCTTGGAGGTGGGGAACTCGCAGTTACTCCTCTGCTCTTTAGTTTAAATCTCTGTGATCTATCTTGTGATATTCCTTTCTAGTCACTAAGGGAGAAACCAGGGTCTTTGATTGTACATAGCTTTGAGAGGAGCTACAGCTTTAAATTGGAATGCTTTTCCAAAATTTAATAGCTGCCTGCCCTAAGGGACAAAACTTCATGAAGGAATGATTTATAAATTCTCATTGAAGACAACTGAAAATGGATGCACCCTGGATTCAGGACAAGCACTAGAAGTGGCCCCCAGCCTCAGTTCTTCTCTGATCTGATGTTTAATGGGGAAGACAGAGGGTGAGGCGGAAGCTTTCCCTCGCTACTGAAAGGCCTGGTCTCATCCAGGGCCTGCAAGGATGCTGATTAATCATGATGAGTGAGTGGGGTGGAAATACACAGCCCATGGGCCAAGGCAAGAAGCAAAGGTGGAACTAGTCCCGCCAGTGGATTCACTGGCAGAGCTTGGCCGGGAGGGCACTCTTCTGGAGAAAAGAGAAGAGGGAACGACTGAAAAAAAAAAAGGAGTGGGGGGCAGGAAGGCTCAGGAGTGAGAAAACCAGCTGCCACCACACATCCACAGACACGTCACGGAAGTGCCACTGACCTCATTCTAGAGTCTGAGTCTGACAGGCCCCTGGGAATGAACACCTCTCAGGTCCACACTCAGGGCCGTTCACATAGTGGGCAGACACTCCAGTCAGTCACACAAGACCAGCATATTGTTAGCCCAGAACTTCCTCTGAAGCAGAAGAGAAAGGCAAATATCTCTTTAAGGCACTGTGCTTCTCAGAGCTGGAGCTTTCTTTAAACTCTCCAGCCAGGAAGTTGCAAGAAGCTCGTTTGCCTTTTAGTAGCTTTAGCCAAAGGTGAAGGCACTGTCCACATATTGCTCTCAGGAGTAGAGGAGTCCTTAGTGGCTATCTCTGCTCACACCGGAAGCTTCCTTTCTCTCTGTCCTCTTCCCTTCCCACCTGCCCGGCATCACTTCTGTCTTGCTTGGCCTCTTCCTGTTCAGCCCCCACGTTGGCTGCCTGCGAACTGCATTGCTCATCCCATCTGCGTGTTGCAAGGGAGAAGAGGAAGCGTCACTGTCTCCCTTTCTTTTCATCTCTTCTGATGCCCAGTTGCTCTTCCCGAACCAGGAATGGACCACCCTACCCACTTCTTTGCTTTGTTTCTGCCCCCAGGAACTTCTGCACTATTTAATCGGTACCCTGCTCCTCCTCATCGCCTCCATCGTGGCAGCTTCCAAGAGTTACAATCAAAGCGGACTGGTAGCCGGAGCGGTGAGGACGTTTTGGGGAGCCTTTAGGAATGAATTCATATTTAAAATGCTCATTTTCTTCCTGATGGGGGAAGAGAAGGGTTTGGTTTCTGGGGCATTCCTTTCATAGAATCAACACCTACCTTGATCCAGTCATCAGCTCTCTTCAAAGAGCCTTAAGCAGAGGCGTCCAGTCCCAGAAGGTGGATTGCCAGGGCTGCCGGCAAATTCACAGAGCCCCAGCAGCCCAGGCCTCTCTCTCTTACAGCCACTACTGAAATCAGGGGGCCAAGCGGGTTTTAATTCACACACCCACTCTGATCGTTGAGTTGGCTGCCTCAACACTATGCGGAGACAGATTCTGGGGCCTCTTTTGGGCCGAGTGGGAAATGTACTGTGATCAGTTAGAGATACATGCCATGAGCCTGAGCTTTGCCATTCCTGATTTTTAACAGTATTCAGGCCAGGAAATAACACTCCTGTATCTTTCAGAGGCAAAAATTGATCCATCTGATAGCCATACATAGAAGCAGATGGAAATATACAGAAATACAGTCCTGTGAGATATATACATACATATATATGTATATACATACAGATGTATATACTATTTTTTAAAGAGTCATAGATTCCTGTCATCTGATTTCTGATTTAGCTGTTTATAGTTCAGTGACCTGTGGGCCAACACTGATTGGCTTCACTGATGAGTAGACAAGATTGTAAAAATGAGTTTTACGAAAAGCTCTCTGAAGCCAGACGTGGTAGCATGCACCTGCAGTCCCAGGCCCTCGGGAGGAATGCTTGTACCCGGGAGTTCGAGTCTGGTCTGGACAACATACTGAGACCCCGTGTCTTAAAAAAAGAAAAAGAGAAAAAGAAAAGCTCTTTCTGTATGTGACATTCATTGTCTTTCACTTACACATATTACCAAAACTTTCCAGACTTTGGCCTGGGAGCGGGTTGGCTCCTGGAATTCCACTGAGGGATGGAGTCTGTCCTCTGAAGGTCAGCATGGGGGCAGAAGGTCACTGTAGAGGGTGGCCAAACCGCCCAACACTGATGCTCCACATGGCCCTCCCACAGCCCACCGCCCCACCCCTCTGCCCCCTCTCTCTGCCCTCTCTGAAGAGAGGGATGGTTGCCCCCTGCAGCTTAACACCTGCCCAGCTACAGTGCAGGGTGCTGGAAGAGGCACGCAGGAGACCTGTGCCCACTGTGTTTCCGGGCCCACTTGGGGAGATTCCCACTGTGTTTGGTAATTCAGGTTGCACGTAACTGTTTAGCCCTGGAATGTCTATAGCTAACATTCATCATATGCTGTTTTGTGCCTAGGACCAAACCTGGGCTATGAGGAAGTTAGAAGAAATTTTTCAAATATGGTGTCTGCTTATAAGAAAGTGGTCATCTAACTTAGGAGACAAGACACATGAAACAATTAGCAAACAAGGCATTGTAGTCTAGAATAGCATTCTGTAGCGATATAATAAACTGTTCAATTATGCAATGCAGACACTTGGAGACTGGGATGGTATATAATGTGCTAATTGTGCAGAACAGACAATGAGAGGCCGGGACAGGCTCTTAATAGGCTAATTATGTGCTGCAGACAACTGGTACAAAAGGAGCCCAGGAAAAGGAACCCAGGGAAGAAGTGGGGGCAGCTGTTTATGTAAAGCAGCATCTGGGCTTGAAAAGAAAACCAAACCTTGTTGAAAATCCTACCCTTTAGCTGCCCCTGTGCCATTCTCACCGGACGCCAGTGGTGGTGTAGTGAAGTGGAGGCCGTTGCGTGTGTCCGAGAATACCTAGGCACCGGGTACTGCAGAGCACAGACTCTGGAGTCAGGCTTCCTGGGCTCCCATCCCATATCTGGCCCTTGCTGGCTCTGTGGCCTTTGGCAAAATAGTTGACCGCCTGTACCTCTGTTTCTTTAGTTGTGAAATGGAGGAGCAGGGGTGGGTAATCGTAGCTCCCGCCCAGCTGAGTTGTGAGGGTTAAAGGAATGAATACACCCACAGAGCCTCGCACCCTGGTAGGGATGTAGTAAAGTGGTCAGTAAGTTTTCACCACTGGAGCTCCCAGTGTTGTTCACAAGCAAGGAAAACGGCTGCAGGCTTCAAAGCCCAGAGATTCCAGAAGAAGCTACTGCCTCTCCCTCGACCATTTGATGAACCTGCCCACAGGCGCTCTTCCTCTCCCAGCACCCGAATCTCATCTACAAGTGAGGGGGCTGGGCTAGGTCAGCCTTCCTCACACTTGAGTGCCGGATGACCCTGAGAAAGGGAAAGGGTGCTGCCTTAACTTAGTTTAGTCTAATATTGTTTAATATGTACAAACATAAACCTAGATGTAAAGGCCTCGGCTTCTGGCTCTTATACGGCCGTAAAGCCAGAACGGAACAGAAAACCATTACAGATGAAATGCGAACAACGCCACTGCACCACAAATCATGTGAACGTTCAGACTTTTTAAGCCCAAATTAAAATTTCACCCTTTTCTTCTCTACTGGTCTAGGATAATCCAAGTCCATTGGCTTAGCCCCAGCTCTCTTGTAAATGTAAACCCAAACCAGGCACTGAGGCTGCCAAAAGACCGAGAGGCCTGGCTGCCAGCCCTGACCTGGCCCAACCTGGGGGACCGGGGCCAGTGGCCAGGCCTCTTGGGGCTTCCTCTCTGCACCTGATCCAGGATGAGGTGGTTGGGTTAGATGACTCTCCAAGCTCCTTTCTGGCCAGAGGCATGAAGGGAACAAGCGCAGAGACGAGAAGCAGACAGGATAGTCCGAGTAATTGGCCCTACGGCCCGTGAACTTCCTCTCCCCTCTCTCCACTGCAGATCTTTGGTTTCATGGCCACCTTCCTCTGCATGGCAAGCATATGGCTGTCCTACAAGATCTCGTGTGTAACCCAGTCCACAGGTGAGTTCTGGTTATCTGTGCACAGAGGATCTCTCAGGAACAGGGGGATGGCTTGTTCTTGACTTCAGCCATAGGGACAAACGCTGCTGTTAAGAAGGCTGTGTCCCAAGGGGACTTTAGAAGTAGTATTAGAGCACAGGGGCCGGCATAGGGGGAGATGTGGCCCCACAATCTCCCCTCACATGCCCATCTCCACACATCCAAGGATGCCCTAGCATTTCAGTCTCGGGTAGCCAAGCTTTTTTCTCTTGCTTGCTTGCTTGCTTTCTTGCTTTCTCTCTTTCTTTACTTTTCTTTTTCTTTTTTTTTTTTTTTGAGATTGGGTTTTGCCCTGTTGTCCAGGCTGGTGCAGTGGTGCGATCAGAGCTCACTGCAGCCTCTGCCTCCCAGGCTCAAGTGATCCTTCAACCTCAGCCTCGTGAGTACCTGGAACTACATGTGTGCAGCATCACCATGCCTAATTTCAATTTTTTTTTTTTTTTTAAGACATGGAGTCTCAACCATGTTGCCCAGGCTGGTCTCAAACTCCTGGGCTCAAGCAGTCCTCCCACCTCAGCCTCTGAAAGTGCTGGGATTGTAGACATGAACCACCGCACCCAGCCAGCTTTTTCTTAAGTTTTCTAATGACAAAAATAAAATGTAGGTTTTTAGAAAATACAGATAAAAACATATTTTTAATAGAAACCGTCTGAGCCAGCGACAGCGGTGTGTACCTATACTATCGGCTACTCAGGTGGCTGAGGCAAGAGGATCACCTGAGCCCAGGAGTTTGAGACCAACCTGAGCAACATAGTGAGACTCTGTCTCTAAAAAAAAGAAAAATGTATTTTAAAAAATTAAGAAAAAGCCATCTGTCATCACACTACGCAGAAGTAGCACTGAGTATCTATCCTTTTGGTATTTTCTCTCTGAAAAAATACGTATCTGTTGCTTTTATTAAAAGGATCAAACTTCATGTGCTGTTTCAAAACCTGTTTTTTCTCCTCCTTAGCCACCTATCAAACATTTTCCCAGCATCATTAGGAATTCTTAGTGGCTCCGTGGGTTGCAGCATTAAGTCCATGGCATGACTGGGCAGTTTATTTAACTTGCCTCCTGTTTGAGGGCATTACTCATGGAATCCTACACTAAGCCCATGGAGTGTAGGATTTCTCTAATAAAAATTGTCTAGAACAGGCAGATTCATAGAGACAGAAAGTAGACCTATGGCAGCCTGGGGCTTGGGGGAGGGGACTCAGGGGTGACTGCTAATGAGGATGAGGTTTCTTTTTGAGGTGATGCAAAGGTTCTAAAATTGTGGTTGCCGCAGTCCTGTGAATATACTGAAAAACACTTCAGATGGGAGAATTGTATGGTATATGAATTATTAAAATATCCCAGTAAAGCTGTTTAAGACAAAAAAGAATGGTTTTTAAAAGTAGAGAATGTAAGGGGGAAAAGAAGTTAATAGGTGATGTCTAACAGGATAAATCTATAAATACTGGTATAAGTCGGTTTTTAAATTACGGAAGAATCACCAAAAGAAACAACTAAAGGGCTTATGGAGGTTACTGCTGAGGTAAGACTGAGGTGTGGGGTGTGGGGATGGGAGTCTCCTCTGTGCTACCGAAGTTTTTTTCTTGTTTGGAAATGTATTTTTAAAAAATAGAATCATCTCAGTGAAAGTCGGCGCTGGGTGGAGGACAGAGGTGCCCCCCGAGCAGAACTTGGAGTCAAACCTGTGGAGTGTGGCTTGTGGGTGGGCCACATTCCTGGCAAGCTGTCCTGACTTTGCCATTTCCTTCCCAAGATGCAGCCGTCTGATGAGGCCACAACCCCTGGGCCCCTCAGAGCTTTGCAAAGAGGTCGTGTACTCCAGGCGAGGCCTGTGGACCTGTGTTCCTGTGCCAAAGTCCTGTCAGGCTGGTGGGAACCAGGAAAGGCCTGCCCCCTCTTCCTGCTCTCCCCGGAAGCCAGCTCCCAGAGCTCCTGAGCCAGCCGGAAACTCTTCCTCCAAGCCTTCCAGGGAGAATATTCCTCCCCTTCTGGAAAAGGAAAGCAGCCTCCAGGGAAATCTGTTTTCTGCCTTCCTGCTTCTAGAACCACCTCAGGTACTGATGAACCCCACTTAGCACAGCTGGAGGGGTTTGTGAATACTCCTGCCTAAATCCCTTCTACTTCACTCCTCAGCCGGGAGTGAAGCGCCTTAAGAAACAAAGCTCCCTCCTAATTTATCTAGCTTGTCAGTCCAGTCTTAGAGATACCCTCTTTCCTGAAGCGAGGCGTGCCTGTAGAAACACTATGTGGTTAGCCTGTCCCTAAGGAGATCTCGCGTCTCCTCTCCATCTCTGCCTTTGTTACCATTGTACACATGTTTATGCGTCTTTTAATAAAATATTGACTCGGCCAGTTGCACAAGGATTTCTTACTGAACCAGATGAAGACCATAAAACCCGGCCTGAAACAGTTTCCATTCAAGTTTGTGTCTGGCCCGTGGCCCTCCACCCGTGCTCTGTGGGTGCCCCTTGCTGAACTGCTGAACTTCAGGTTTTCTCTCCATCTTGGGGGATGGTATAGCAGGGCTGAGTTTTAGGTAAATGTGCAGGTTCTCATTTATATTCACGTCCTCCTTCTCCTGGAAAGAGCTTTAGCGCAAGCTAAGGATTGTGTTTACACTGTGATGATTAATGATCTTGCTCTAAATGCGCGGTTTCCCTGATCTTGAGCTGCTCGGTTGGCTAGAAAAAGGAGGGATGGAACAATGTTTGAGCAACCCTGTGTGCAAGCACCTACATTCACGACCACAGCCAATAGCGATGATAGTGACTCCAAGGGGGCAGGTTATAGGACCACATTTTTAGAAATGAAATCGGGGCTCTAGCCCAAGGCACAGGGCAAGCCAGTGGGGAGGTGGGCTCAGGATCTAGGTTCGCCTGACTCCCAGCCCCATCCTTGCCTCTGCTGAGTGTTGCCGGAAATGGAGGCAGCCCCTGTGGGCTTTGAGCTGGAGCTCTGGGGCTGCTCTTGTGGCTGCTGGCCAGCTCGGGGCATCGGGCTGTCTGGGATGATCTAAGGAAGCAGCACCCGTGGTGTATCTGAAGCCCAGTGCTGCTGATGGGAGGGGATCCTGTGTACCAGCTGGGCCGGAGCAGGAACACGGCTGAGCTGACCCTGGCACGGTCGGCTCCTCCGGGGCAATGGAATGGAGGAGCCTCAGCTGAAGAGGGCGCGGTCCAGGTGAGGCAGTGGGTCTGGGAGTCCCCTGCCTGTGTAGTGACGATGTGGGCCTCGCCAAGCAACGAGGATCCGGGTGTAACCATTCGAGCCTCCCCCTAGGAGGGCAAAGGTGGGTGGAGGACAGTTGGGGGAGTAGTAGCAGGAGCCAGAGTCTGCTCAGTGAGGAAGGAAAGCAAAACGCAGAGCCAGGTGAGGCCTCCACAGACAGCGAGCAGCGGACCGTGCAGCCAGCAGCTTGGCTGAGGGGTGGCTGTTGGAGACCACAGGGCCTTTTTAGAAACAAGGGTTTCTGTGACCTCCCAAAAACTGTCTGGTAAAACCACCCCTTCTAAATAGCCACATCCCCAGCACCAGGGAGTAAATGTTTAAGCAAAGAGCTAAGGATGGTGGGAAGAAAGTCAGGCTGGGAGCCAGCAGACGTGGGGTTGAGTCCAGCTCTGCCACTGACTAGCCCCCGACATGGCGCGGGTCATCTCGCTGAACCTTAGTTCCCCCTTTGTGTAACGGAGAGAAGCAGCCCATCCTGCCTGCCTGTGACCTTCCTGGAATTCAGTAACATAGCAGCGTGCTTACCTTAGCGTTATCTTAATCCCCAGAGAGGTACCAGAATGACAGGAAATGAGCAGGTTAATGCTGCAAAAGTGATTGACTCGCCTGGGTGTGAGGGAGCTGGAGAACATAATTTACTTTTAGTTCCCTGGACCTTAAATTTTGTTATAGTCAAGATTAGAAGCTGAGGGCAGTTTTCAGCCAAGCACTGGGACCCATGGTGGACAGAGGGCAAGATGAGACACCTGTAGGGAACTGGGTGGGTGAACATACCCCAGCAGCCGGCTCTGGGCTGAGTTGTGGGGGTCCTCCCTGAAGGGGACACTGGCTTTTCACTTTTGAAGTAAGACAATGGGCCAGGCGCGGTGGCTCAAGCCTGTAATCCCTGTACTTTGGGAGGCCGAGGCAGGCAGATCACAAGGTCAGGAGATCAAGACCATCCTGGCTAACATGGTGAAACCTCGTCTCTACTGAAAATACAAAAAATTAGCCAGGCGTGGTGGTGGGCACCTGTAGTCCCAGCTACTTGGGAGGCTGAGGCAGGAGAATGGCGTGAACCCGGGAGGCACAGCTTGTAGTGAGCCGAGATCGTGCCACTGCAATCTAGCCTGGGCGACGGAGCGAGACTCCGTCTAAAAAAAAGAAAAAAGTAAGACAATGACCTTCAGATCCTCTGCTCCTTCAGCTCTTTTAGCCCCGGTGGCACCCCAGCCAGTCAGGGATGTTCTAGAAGCAGGGCCAGCACCTTTGAGCCCCTGTAATCTTGGCAACCTCTGCACACAGCTGGCTCTCCATTGGCAGTTGAGGATGCTGTTGATAGTAGGAAGAAGGAGACCTCTGGTTTTCCTATGGTGACTCACCCCCTGGACACAGCTTCAACCCTAGGGAGTGAATATCTAAGCCAGGGCGGCAGTACCATTCACCTGCCCCATGGAGGACCAGCCTCTAAACCCAGGCATTAACTCATCACAGTGCAGCGTGCCCTGGGGGAGCCGACCAGCCTTCCTCCAAGAAATTGAGATGCAATAGATCTGAAATGGGAGCCAGGAATTCCTAAGCCTTGTCCACAAAGTGGATATCACCTGGCAGCTGGTTAGAATTGCAGGATCCAGGCCCCACAAAGACCAACTAAAATAGAATCATCTGCATCATAACCAAGTCCCAGTGGTGTGTGTGCATTGCAATATTTGTGAGACACTGTTGGAATCAAAGACGCTCTAGGGTGGGTGCAAGTCTGAGGCTGATTTCACCGGAGGAGGAAGGAGATGAGAAATGGTGTCAGTTGGCGGGTGTCTGAAGTAAACCCTACTTCTCACTGGATCCACAGTGCATTGGAAGAAAGATCCTTTTAAGAAGTAGCTAATGGGCAGGGCGCGGTGGCTCATGCCTGTAATCCCAGCACTTTGCAAGGCCGAGGCGGGTGGATCACCTGAGGTCAGGAGTTCCAGACCAGCCTGGCCGACATGGTGAAACCCTGTTTCTACTAAATACAAAAAGGTAGCTGGGCGTGGTGGCATATTCCTGTAATCCCAGCTACTTGGGAGGCTGAGGCAGGAGAATCGCTTGAACCTGGGAGGCAGAGGTTGCAGCGAGCCGAGATTGTACCATTACACTCCAGCCTGGGCAACAAGAGCAAAACTCCATCTCAAAAAAAAAAAAAAAAGGAGCTAATGGATGCTGGGCTTAATACCTAAGTGATGGGTTGATCTGTGCAGCAAACCACCATGCACCATGGCACACGTTTGCCTATGTAACACGTTTACCTATGTACATCCTGCACATGTACCCTGGAACTTAAAATAAAAGTTGATTAAAAAAAAAAAAGCACCTCCACTGCCTCCTGTCTTGGTATTTTCGAATTCCTGACCCTTCCCAAATTCTGGCTTCAGCCCTCAGAGCCCCTTGCCCCTCGGGGCACTGTGGAGAAGACCCAGAGGCAGAGCAGAGGGCGTGGGGAGCAACATAGTCCCTGGATCCTGGGAGCTTTCGAGGAAGGCTGGCCAGAGCTCTGGGGCCTGGGGCGAGGAACATACAAGCACTCTCCAGCCCCAGGGGACGGGTGAGACAATAACGTGCTCCACTCCCCTCCCACGGAGGCCAGATGTCACAGAGCTTTGAACTAGGAAGAGGGAGCTCACTGGAAGGAGGGTGACCGTACTCCTGCTGCCCCAGGGAGGAGAAGCTGCGGAAATGAAGGGGCTGCTTCATGCTACCTGGGGGAACACCTGAGTTTCTGTGCCCCGCTGGAGGTAAGAAGAGTAGAGTTTGAAGAAGATAGTGATCTCGAGATTTCCGTATTTTGTACTGTTTATACTTGTATAAACTACTCAAAAGCAATACAGACAGCCTTAAAGAGGAAGTTAGTTCTGCCACAAGCTACAATACAGATGAAACCCGAGGACGTTATGCCACGTGAAATAAGCCAGACATGGACAGACAGACACTGCATGATTCCACTTATAGGAGGTACCTAGGGTGGTCAAAATCATGGAGACAAAATCTAGACGGGGGGTTGCCAGGGGCCGGTGGCAGGGGGAATGGGAGGGGCCGGTGGCAGGGGGAATGGGAGGGGCCGGTGGCAGGGGGAATGGGAGTTATTATTTAATGAGTACAGTTTCCGTTTGGGAAGATGAAAAGTTCTGGAGATGGATGGTCATGGTGGTTCCACAACAGTATGAATGAATGCACTTAATGCTACTGAACTGTACACCTAAAAATGGTTCAGATGGTCAATTTTATTTATTTTACCATAATTTTTAAAACAATTCAGGGCCAAGTTCAGTGCTTCATGCCTATAATCTCAGCACTTTGGGGGACTGAGGTGGGCAGATCACCTGAGGAGTTCAAGACCAGCCTGGCCAACATGGTACTAAAAATACAAAAATTAGCCGGGCTTGGTGACGCACACCTGTAGTCCCAGCTACTCAGGAGGCTGAGACATGAGAATTCCTTGACCCTGGGAGGTGGAGGTTGCAGTGAGCCACCGCACTCCAGCCTGGGCAACAGAGCAAGATTCTGTCTTAAAAAAAAAAAAAAAAACAAAAAAACCAATTCATGACCTATGTCGAGGCAACTCAGTAGCTGAAAGAGCAAAAATTACACCAACCCAAAATGGCAACCCACAGCCCAACAGCAGCCACCCCATGTTCTAACAGCTAAGCATTCTGGGTCCTGGAGAACACAGTTGTGGGTGCAGTTGTCTTCTCCAATCCAGGCTCTCTGGGAGCTGTTCAACCCAGGCGCCTTGTGGAACCCAAACTGTGCACCCACCACCCCTGCTCCCAGAGCAGTCACAGCCAGGCAGGTCCAAGCAAAGATGTGAGAGGAGGAAGGGATGTGCCCATGGGGGGAGGGGCAGGGAGCCAGGAGAGCCGTCATGGCAACCTGAGGCCCCAGGAAAGGGTGTTGGCACCTGTGGCCACAAGGGGCACTGGGAGATGAGGCCGACGGCGGTCTGCTCACATCCCCCTCCACAAGCAGCCAGTTCTCTGGCCATGCTCCTAGGGAGGGAGGGAGGAAGGCCGAGGGCGGTGCCATCCCTTGGGCACGCCTCTGCCAGGTTTTCTCATTACCCACAAGAGTGGCAGAAAACTGTTGCTCAGCCAGGCTCTGGAAGACTGC